TCCTCAGAACACACTCTAAGCGCCCGTTTTTGGGTAATGAGTGAAGCTGCTTAGAAGTGCTGGCTGACTGCCCGACTCCCCTGGCCAGGGAGGGAGGGGCCCTGACCCACTACCCCAGCCTGCGTGGGAGGCCTCCCTTCTGTGAGTGGGAGAGACTTCTAGGAGGAGGGGCCTCAGCTTTCATCAGCTCTCACAAAGGAGTCTGAAACCCCAGGGGGGCTTAGAACTCACGAAACCAAAGCCTTCCCTTCTTGGGACAAGATGAAGCTTATTGGTTCCACTTCTGTGAGCAAAGCCCTATTCCTTGAGCCTCATTTTCCCTACCTGTAAAGTGGGCTGACAATCCAATCTACCTTACTGGGCAAGGCAGTGACATAACGGCCATGAGACAGCATTCGGCCAGTGGAAACTGCCTCTTTAAAAACTTATCTTGGGGCGCCTGGCTGGCTTAGTCAGTCAAGCATGTAACTCTTGACCTCAGGGTCATGAGTTCAAGCCCCATGTTGGGGGCAGAGATTACTTAAAAAAAAAAAAAGCATACCTTAACTACACAAGTAATATCTGAGTATGTACCCCTTGCGAAAGATTCAAACCACAAAGAAGGTACAGAGAATAAAAACGAAAAGTGTCCCTTTCTCCTTTTTGCTGATTCTCTCCCCAGGAGGCCCTGCTGGCGAGAGATCAGTGTGTGGCTTCCAGCATTTTTCAAACAATATGTATGCCTTTTTCTTTCCACGGTTTTATGTTGGAATATTTAAAAACGAACCCTGGCAGCTCAGTTGTTGGGGCTAGCTCTGTGCCACGCAGAGCTGTGCCCTGTGAGAGCTCGGTTTCTCCTCAGGACGGCTGTCTGTGGCTGAGGGCATTCCTCTCCACTTGACAGACGAGGAGCTCAGGCTCTGTGTTCTTGCCGGTGGCCCCATAACACTGGTATGTGCATCAGTCATTACAGTTATGCTGGGACCACAGGCACTGTCCCAGGTAAATACTCTCAAGAGTCGGGACTTTCTCAAGGGATGGGTCCTGCTTCCGACTGGCCTCCGGCCAAACGAGAATTCACCAGCTCATTTAATGAGAAAGCCCGAGATGCAGCGCGGCCGGACCAGAGATCCTACAGGGGCCCAGGGATGCATGGGAACTGTCTCACGGGGTGGGGGTGGGGGGCTGCGGGGGGGCGGGAGAGCGCAGTCTCGGGCATATGAGGGAGTTGGTCCCTAGGCTTCAGGCTCCCACAGCCTCCTCAAACCCAGCAGGGGCACAGGGAGTGGCTGCCGTGTGGCAAAAACCAGAGCTGGGAAGGGTGAATCCTGATTATTTTAGCCATTCACCTTTGGATGGTCACCTAGGTGGTTTCCAGGTTGTCACCGTTAAAAACACAGCAGGCACACTACTTCCTTCTTGCCTGTAGTCACCTGAATTCCTCTCAAAGGTTTAACTCTGAAGTAGTTAGACATAAGATATGAAATTCAGTCTAAATTCTTTCATAAGGGCGCCTGGGTGGCTCAGTTGGTTAAGCGACTGCCTTCGGCTCAGGTCATGACCCTGGAGTCCTGGGATCGAGTCCCGCATCGGGCTCCCTGCTTGGCGGGGAGTCTGCTTCTCCCTATGACCCTCCCCCCTCTCATGTGCTCTCTCTCTCTCTCTCTCTCTCTCATTCTCTCTGGCTCAAATAAATAAATAAAATCTTTAAAAAAAAAAAATAAAAAAAATAAATTCTTTCATAAAACTTGAAAGGAGTAAGCAAGTGAACAGAAACCACGTGGAACTTGTTGGCATGTGGGCCAGTACATATCTGGGATGAGATGCCTACCCCTCCCATTGCTGGACCCAAGTGCATCTCCCCTGCTGTGCGGGCCCTCGGAGGTGCCTTCCCCTCCTCTGCCTGAGAGCGAGGGCCTGATTCTTCACCCTGCTATATGTTTGCTGATTTCTTACAAAGCTAAAGACCTTCATGTGTTTATTGGCCGCTTTGTGAATTGCCTATTCATGTCCCCCGCCCATTTTCCTCCTGGGTTAGTCTTTCTCACTGGATTGCCAGAGATGTTTACACCTTCTGAGTGTCAGTCTTTCACTACGCATGTTGGACTCTTTGGTTCCCAGGATATCACTTGTCCTCCCTTGGTTTTATCCTGTCTTTGGTCCATATTGGCATCTCAAGCAAGCCTTGAAAGACCGGTTGGATGGCATGGAGAGTTCTGTGGGAGAGCTTGAACTCAAGTACAAGTGGGGACAAGCCCAGCCCTCCAAGGGGAGAAGCTGGAGGGGCAGGAGAGAGCACCCATGGAACGGGCCCTTGGAGGCCAGGTGGGCTGTGGCCCAGTACAGCCAGGTGAAGTCCAGGACCCAGGTGAGGTGGGGGCAGGGGGTCAGAGGTCCCCATCCTCTTTCCTGGTCCTGGCCATTTCACATACTGGCCTTGCCCAATCCTGCCCTTCCTTTTGAGATCTGAAAATCCACCTGAGTCATTTCACAGATAAGAGGTGGAACTACTCAGCCTAAGTCCCCACAGCTGGTGAATAGCTGATTAGAACCCAGCATGTTTGGCACCAGCCTCCTCCCCCAGGAAGCTCCCTGCCCTCCTCCCTCTACCTGTAGCACACACCCTAAACTGGGCTCCAAGGCCCCCACTGACTCTACCTCCCTGCCTGGGCACACCCAGATGCCCTATGGGACAAGCTCTCCCGGGAGAGAGCAGAGTAGGTTGGGGGTTGGGTTCCAGAGGGAACACAAAAGGGTCAAAAGTCAAACCCCATACCAAGAAGGCAGTCCCCCCACCCCAGGCCTCCTCAGTCTCTCCATCGTCCACCCACTCCCTTCTGCCCCGGCCACCCTTCACCCCCTTTGAGGCCATCCTTCCCTTCCTGAGGGAAGCTGCCCCTTTGCACCCTGTTCACGCTGTTCCTGAAGCAGTCTGGCATAAGAAGGGGCTGCGGAGGGTCACACCCTACCTCGGCACTTCCTCCCTGGGTCTGGGCCCCAGCATGACCCCCAGGTAGGCACAGGCAGGACGTTCACAGCTAGCACTGCTGGGAGACCACATATGTGCCCAGGCGCAGGGGACAGCTCCCACCAGCAGAAAATGCCTCAGCGACCCAGAGCCACCCAGAGCGGCATGTCCCCCTCCCCCTGAGGATGAGTCTAAAAGGAACGTTGGGAGAAGAGAGCAAGCCGCTGGTAGAGAGGGCTGACCGGTGCCGTGGCAGCCAGCCTTACGTTAGCCACCACCGTGGGAGAGACCCAGGGCTGGGCTGGGGGTAGGCCGGTCACGCAGGCCTTCAGGCTTATCCATCTGTTACCTCTTAAACTGGACCATGGCTCCCAGGCATTCATTATGATTGTTTTTGTATGCCTGAAATATTTCACCAACCAACTGACTTCCAAACCCCTTCCGCCTTCACGTCCAGATCCTCAGGACAAACCCGAGCTCCTTGCCCCAGCACCCAAGGCCCGGCCCCTCCCGGTGGACCTTTGCAGCCTCCCTCTGCCGCTCCCAGACCTTTGCTCCTGCTGTGGCTCCCAGGCCCCGCCTGGTCTTTCTGGTTAACGCATGGGCACGGGAAGCTTCTACGTGGTAGAGAGATGAGATCAGAGGGACTTTTAGAAAGATGCCTTTAGGAATCCAGGTGAGGAGGGCAAGTTGAAGGGTGAGGCGAGGGGCGTGGAGAGGTGGAGAGAGACCTGCCCTGAGGCCAGCTGCACACCCTGGCACCCACACACGCTGCCCTCACGTCCTCAGTCCATCGGTAGTCATGGAGATGGAACTCTAGCCCTGGAAGAATGAGGACAAGGAAGCGAGGAGGTTCGAGCCTTGAGCCCCAGGGAGTTGACCTGAGGCACCACATCCCTAGGATGTCTCCCAGGGCCTGGGAGCTCCAAAAGGCCAATCGTCAACCCCAGGATCTCCATTCAGTTCCCGCCCCCAGTCATACCAGAGATGCCCCAATGGGAAAGCTAGGACAAAATGCAGGGCAACTGGGGCCCAGAGAGGCCAGCAGGGGAGAGCTGAGGTGAGGTAGGTGGATCCCAGAACCCTGGGGCCAGTGACCCAGTTTCTTTAAACCTGGTGGTGGCCATGGACCCCCGAGAGCTTCGGTGCAGGCCGATGAGACCACACCCCGCCTAGGTGGGGCAGGGCTTCCGGTGGGGTATGTGGTGAGGTATCAGCGTGACCTTGGGCGCCTGCCTGTATGGCACCCCAAACCTTGGACCCTTTGTGAAGAGGCTGGGGTGGCGGGGGCCCAATCCCCCACAAATGTCTGAAGAAAAGTAGGGGAAGCACCTGGTTTCCCTGCGGGCTGCTCCTCCCCGTGGGCCTCAATCTCCTGGCCTGTGAATTGGGGGTCATCATTCCCACCACAGCCAGTTGTGAAAATGAAGAGAAACCAGTTATGTTTGGCACACAGAACGCGCTCATGAATAGCCGTCGGCATCCATTCACCGGCTCCCTGGGAACGTCAGCCTAGAGCCGGGGCTCCCGATGCCCCGACCCTGGCCGGACAGAACACAGCTCTGGGGCCCTTAGGGGTCACAGCTCTGCCCCTTGACCCCTCCATGTCGAGCCGGGAAAACAGTCCCGGAGGTCTCCCTCAAGGTCACAGAGGGTCAGTGCAAAGGGGAGGTGGAATACCACTCCTGGGGTGACGAGGACGGCACTGTCCGTGGGGCCGGGGCGCCCACGCGCGCGCCCAGACTCGCATCGAGAGCGGGTCCCAGTCGTCCTCCCGGGCCCCGGCCGCCGGGAGCGTTTCCTCGCTAGAGGCTCGGGTTTCCAGGAGCCCCGCCCCGTGTCCGCCCCGTGTCCGCCCGAGTCCGCCCGAGTCCGCCCGCCCCCCGCGCGCCCTCAAGTTTCTCCCAACTTTTCCGCGGGTCCCGCCGGGCGCCCCGCCCACCGGCTGGTGACGCAACAATGGTGCAGCGTAGCGACCAATGAGCGGCGACGGGGTCCGGCAGTGCGGGCCAATGGCGGCGGCGGACGGTCCCGCGGTCCTGCCGGGCCGGGGCCGCACTGCGCCGCCCGCCGCCCGCCGCCCGCCCGTCGCCGGCGCCGCCGCCCAGCTATCGGGCCGCGGCGGCTCAGACCGCGGCTGCGGCGGGCGCGGGCGGCGGCGGCTCCCTTCCTCCCGCCCGTCTTGGGGGACGGTGGTTCCCGCGGGTGAACAGTGCGCGCTCCGGCCCTCAGCGGGGACTGGGACGTCAGGTCCCCGGCCCCGCCGCTCCCCACGGTGAGTCCCCCCTTCCCCCGGCCCGCTCGGCGCGCAGCCCCCGCCCCGGGCGGTCTCCCCTGGGCACCGCCCCCTCGTGTCCCCTGGACACATGCACACGCAGGTGCAGCCCTCGCTGCACTGGCCACCGGCCGGCAAACACCCTGGCCTAGCCCCCCGCGACCCGCGGCCGCCGGGAGGGGACGGGGACGAGCCGGCCCCCGGGCACACAACCCAGCCCTCGGTGGCCCAGCCCCCCATTCACGGAGCCGCGGCCGTGACTCGCTGCCCAGTGACGTGGGGCGGCCCAACTTTACGTAACCCGCCTGGCGCCCCACGGGCATCGACACGGGGTACATACCCCTGGGGCGCAGAGTCCCAGGCTTGGGGGGTTTTTCCGGTCATGGTGCCCCCCGGAAGAGCGCTGTGGCTGCAGCCCACCCCCACCGTGCCCGTCTCTGTAACTTAGTTACCCAGTGTGTGTGGACGCGGCCTGTCCGCTGACCCAGCCCCCTTGTGACCAAGGGCTTACCCTTGAGGGAAGGCAGCGGGGAGCTTGGACCAGGGTCAGGGGTCAGAGGCCAGGGCTCAGGTTGGGGCTGGGGGCTCAGAGGGCAAGGTCAGGTAGGGATCAAGCTGGGCTCCCGGTGGGTTGGGGATCCCCCCACTTCTGGAATGAGCCCAAAATGGGAGGGACGAAATCTGGGTTGTAGGCCTGGCTGTACCATGACCTGCTGACTGACCTTGGACAAGCTTGCCCCTTGCTGGAAAATGGGATGACAGGACCTGCTTCATCTAGTAGTTGGGAAGATCAAGAGAAGTAGCAGGCCTGGAGGGGATTTGCTGTGAAGAGTTGTGCTCACGTTTCTAGGTTGCTGGAAGCTAGGGTTGCTGATATCCAGCAAACATCATCCACCCCATCTCACCCTGCTGGGCCTCACAGCGTGCATTCCTCCCATCCCCTTTCTTACAGATGAGGAAGTTGAGGCTCAGAGAAGGAAAGTGGTAACACTCACGTCCTGTGATCGCCTGTGATCTCCTGTGATCGCAGTCCAGGAACCAGGTAGGTCTGGAACTCTGACCCTGCCTGGCATGGATGGGGCGGGAGGCTCTAGGGGCCCCTATCTGTGGTCAGGGGTCAGAGGGATAGAGTCATGGTTAGGAGGGGCTTGGCCCTGCTGAAGATGTGGATTACAATATTTTACCACTACTCCCCGCCCCCCCCCCCGGTCTTTTCTGTTTGGGGTTGGAAGTACCTAGTCGGCCAGGTCACCGGGTCCCTGGGCTGGAGGAAGGGGGGAGGTCGGTTTTCAGGGTGGCCTTGAGTGTGGGTGGGGCTGTGGAGGTAGGGGGCAGGGAAGGGCACCTCTAGCAGAGGTGCCAGAGAACAAGACACAAAAAGGTTGGGAGATCAGGTGCGGCTCGATCAAGGATGTGGGAGGTGGTTCAGGGCCTAGGAGAGAAGGGAGCTGTGGAGAGCAGCTGGAGCTCCCGGCGGGTGCGCTGTGGGAGCCTCGCCCGAGCCTCACCGCGATCTCCTCCCCGCAGGTGGCCAGCCGCCAGGCCCATGCCGTGAGGCCCGGAGGCGCCCCGCCGCCACCAGCATGCCTTGGGATGCAAGGCGGCCCGGGGGCGGCGCGGACGGCGGGCCCGAGGGCGCGGGCGCGGCGCGCTCGCAGGCGCAGAAGCAGTGTCGCAAGTCGTCGTTCGCCTTCTACCAGGCCGTTCGCGACCTGCTGCCCGTGTGGCTGCTCGAGGACATGCGCGCCAGCGAGGCCTTCCACTGGGACGAGCGCGGCCGCGCCGCCGCCTACTCGCCCTCCGAGGCGCTGCTCTACGCGCTCGTGCACGACCACCAGGCGTACGCGCACTACCTGCTGGCCACGTTCCCGCGCCGCGCGCTCGCGCCGCCCAGCGCCGGCTTCCGCTGCTGCGCCGCGCCCGGGCCGCACGTGGCGCTGGCCGTGCGCTACAACCGCGTGCGCATCCTGCGCCGCATCCTGCGCACCGTGCGCGACTTCCCGCCCGAGGAGCGCGCGCGCGTGCTCGACCGGCGCGGCTGCAGCCGCGTGGAGGGCGGCGGCACGGCGCTGCACGTGGCCTGCGAGCTGGCGCGCCCCGAGTGCCTCTTCCTGCTGCTCGGCCACGGCGCGTCGCCCGGCCTGCGCGACGGCGGCGGCCTGACGCCGCTGGAGCTGCTGCTGCGCCAGCTGGGCCGCGACGCCGGGGCCGCCGGCGCCGCCGCCGGGGCGCCCGCCGCGCCCGGGGAGCCGCGCCAGCGCCGCCTGCTGCTGCTCGACCTGCTGGCGCTGTACGCGCCCGCCGGCGCCGCCGGGCCCGCGCGCCGGGAGCTGCTGGGCGACCGGCCGCGCTGGCAGCGGCTGCTGGGCGAGGACAAGTTCCAGTGGCTGGCGGGCCTGGCGCCGCCCTCGCTCTTCGTGCGCGCTATGCAGGTGCTGGTCACCGCCATCTCGCCCGGACGCTTCCCCGAGGCCCTGGACGAGCTGCCGCTGCCGCCCTTCCTGCAGCCGCTGGACCTCACGGGCAAGGGCTAGACCCTGGGGGGGGGGGCGCCCCCCCGGGCGCTGGATTTTTGGAAAATCTATTTTTCAGAGCGTTGTACCCAGCACTTTACATATATTGATCTCTGTACAGGAGAGTCTGCTTCGTCTGTTGCGCGCGTTGCGGGCTGGGCCAGGCTGGGGAGGTGGGCCCCCAGCTGCAGGTTTCCTGGGTCTGGCTGAGCTCCGCTCCCCACTTCCCTCCCCTTTTTGCAAGGTTTAGGGGTCATGCGACCCTCCAGAGTCAGGCCCTACGCTCCACTAGCTTCCCAGCCACCGAGGTCGGTGAGGGCCAGCCTCCCATCTTGATCTAGAGCCTCCAGGACTAAGTGTCCCAGAGGGAGTGACGACTGAGCTGAGCACGGGAATTGGGCAGGGGCAGGGGGTGTGGACTGACGGGCCTAAGCGCGGGCACAGCGTGTGCAGAGGCCGAGAGAGCAGGTCCTGTGAAACGCTAGGAGGAGGTCCTCTGTGCGGTAGGCACGTGGGGCCCTTGCAGACTGCCGTGCGGGGCAGAGGAGGGCAGGAAGGCTTGATGTGCTGGTGCCCCCTGCCCCTCGGCGGGTATCCTTGTGACAGCCCCGCCAGTCCCGGTGTAGCCCAGCTTGGGCTTGGCTTGTCCCTGTCCCTCCTTTTGTTCTTTCCTGACGAGTAGCAGGCACCTAGTCCTGGGGCTCCTGCTTCTCATCTCTGCTGTGAAACCCCTGGCCCCTTGCTCCACCCTGTCAGGTGGGATTAGGTGTCCCGACCACCGTCCAGCCCCGGTGTGGGCTCCCGTGTACCCCCCGGCCCAGCCCCCAGTGGTTGTCAGGTGGAGCCTGTGGGTACGACGGGGAGGCTGGAGCACCTGGTGGGCACGGGCCCCTGGCCCAGCCCGTGGAGCTGGCTTCTGCCGGAAGGTTCTGAAGATGACCTGTTAACAGATGTACCAGTGCCCTTCAGGACGAAGGGACTGGCTGAAGAGCTGGGTCCGTGCCCTGAGGAGCCTTGAGGCCAGGGAGGATGGCCAGGCGGCCCTGCCCAGGGAATTCCACTGGGCTATGAAATTCAACCTGCGCCGGCCGGGGCTGGAGGGCCACGATGTGCTGCCAGAGGCAGAAGGCTAAAGGTCTGCCCGATGGTGGGAGGAGGGGAGAATGGAGGGGTGCACGGCCAGGGGCTGATCCTAGATTGCGGGTGGGAGTGAGGGCTCCTCCCTTCTGCTATGTGTCCTGTGGGCCAGTTAAGTAGCTTCTCTGAACGTGGACACTTGGGGGCAATGGATGCTAACCTCTCTCCCAGCTCAAAACTTGGGGATCAGGAGCGTCTGGTTCCTTTAGGCAGTCCCAGGTCTTCATGTCAGCGATGCCATTGTCGGGGGGAGGGCTGGTTGCCTTTGGGGTGGATGAAGGTGGAGACAGAGTGGCTCAGAGTAGCAGGTGGCTTGGGGGTCGTGGGCCTGTGGAGGCGTTGGGGAGCCCTTGGTGCCTGGAGCCACCAGCAGCCTCTGCCTAGAAAGCCCAACAGGGAGCCTGGGCCTACAGACTTCCCATCATGTCTCCCCAGGCCCAGCTCTGTCCTCGGTGGATCACCCCCCCTGGGCCCCTCTTCCCTTCCACTGTACACCTACAGCTAACCCCTTTGAGGCCCCTGGGCTGGGACTGGGGTGATGCAGAGGTGCAGCTGCCCTGCCTTGGGGCTCCCTGGGAGGCCATGGAAGGGGCACCCCACAGAACCCATTGTCAGGCAAGCAGGAGGCAGGACCTGAGCTGGATCATTCGGAGCACCGCAGCCTGGGGGCCCAGCCTGAGCACGTTCAGGGAAGTTCTGGGGCCCAAGCGGGGTGGTTTGGTGGGAGGGTGACTAGGAAGCAGAAGCTGCGGGGACTGCTCCATCATTTGCTGGCTGACTTTGGGCCCCTAGGCCTTGGAGGGCTGAGAGCGCAGGAGGAGGGTACCCCGGGGCACTGGCCCCTGATGTCCTCCTTGCTGTGGGTGGGTGGGCCGGGGGCCGGGAGGGTAATGGAGTTCACACTGCTTGGAGCTGCTCCGAGGGCTGAGGAAAGCAAGGTCAGGCGGGCTCTCTGCCCGATGGCAGCCGAGTGGGGCCCGATTCCTGGCACAGCTGCTACTGAGACTCACGGGGGACGCCTGGCTCAGGGCACTGCAGGCCTCTGAGTGCAGAGGACCTAGGGAAATGGTGCAGGGTGATAAGTGGAGCCTCGGGGTTATCTGGTGGCCACTGCTGGCCAGAGGAAGGGCAGGAGGCTGGGCAGGAAGTACCTAGCGTTTGGGTTATCAGGCCCTGGGGCCCTCCAGCCCCAGAAAGGGCAGCCAGCGACTCAGCTCTTGGTCGTTGGCAGGTGGCCTCGCTGGCTTCTCAGAGGCAACTGCTCTCTGCCCGGAACGAGGCCCCCTTTTCTCTGGAGTGAAGCACGTTGGTTCGGGTGTTCGGTTCACTCATTCCAGTCTTTCTAAGGAAAACCTGACTGCAGCCCACCCAGCAGCCCGGCGAATCCCAGCCTGTTAGAGCTCAGGGGCCAGAATCTCATCACCCCACATGCCTGCTGGGGAGGACAGGGGAGGCTGGGCCACTCCTCCACAGAGGGGGTCGTGATCTCAGGCCGGGAACCCAGAAGGGACACCACGGGACCGCCCGTGCTGTCGGGACGGCCTGGGGGAGGTGGCCGTGAGGGCAGGGGCTAAGGGCCCTGCACGGACTTCAGCCGGATGCCACCTCGATGCAAATTACTCTGATTTCCCTTCCTCCCGATTGCTTCACCAGCCTCAAGCTCCTGGACTGAGAGCAGTTTCCCGAATTACCGCCAGTCCTGTTCAGAACAAGGATGCTTCCTGGGAGCCGGCAAGGAGGGCGGCCCGGGCGGTCGGGGGAAGGCCGTGCAGTGTTCATGCCTGTTCCAGGGGGCGGGCTCCCCTGTGGTTCAGTCCGGCTGCATTTAAAACGGAGGCATGACTGACCTATGATAGATGCACAGACTTTATATATTTTTAAAGATGGAAAGAGGCCTTTTAAAAAATTTTTTAAAAATAGGCTTTACACCCAGCGTGGGGCTTGAACTCATGACCCCAAGATCAAGAATCACACGCTTCCCCCACTGAGCCAGCCAGGCGCCCTGAGATGCACAGACCTTGCATGTGTCGTCTGAGGAGTTCTGACAAATGTCTACACACATGTAACCACCACCCCAGTCAAGATAGAGATTTCGGTCTTCAGTGATTTGTAAAAAGAATTTCTGCTTCTAGAATTCACGCTCCAGGTGGAACACTGGAACCGCAGGGAAAACCAGGGCAGGGCGTAGCTGGGCTTCCGTGTGGAAACGTCATCCTGTCCCCCCCACCGCTCCCCATATGGCTGCCAAATAAAGGGGCCAACTACCTGCCGCCACCCCACCACCCAGACACCACAGCTAGCATCTGGGGTGTTTTCTTGCAGTTTTCTCCATGCACATCTATAAATGTAACATTCTTCTATGCATATTCTTTACATACGTGACATCAGATCACTTAAATATTTGAGTATTTTTAAACTTACTATAAGCATTTTCCTATACTGTAAAATGCTTTGTAAATAGGTTTCTCAGAAGTCTTTGGTGTTTACTTTGTGATATTTGACTCACCGCTGTTGATGGCATAACGAGTCGTTAGCACTGTGTTTAAAATGTGAAATTTATTTATTTTGAAATAAATAATACATTTACATGCTCGAAATTCAAAAGGTACAAAAAGGTCTAGACCACAGGCAGCCACCGTGACCAGCTGTGTAGGGAACTCGTTCCTTCGGCCCCCCCGGTGCCCTCATGCAAACCCACCGGAAGTTAGACGGGTACGAGCGCATGTGCCTTAGATGGTTCCCATCCCTTCTCTCTCTCTCCCACCCTGTCTCCCTCTCTCTCGCCCTCTGTACGGTCTTCCGCCAAACCACATCCTTACGCGCAGCGGACGGCGCGTGTGGATGCAGTCAGGTCGTGGCCCGTTTCCCCCAGGCCCCCCTCTGTGACACTGGTGCCCGACCCCGTCAGGCGGCTCCTAGAGGCCGAGGTCACAAACAGGCCTATGCCATACGTCTCCCCGCAACTTAGGATTTGTTCTTGGGGACAGGTCCCAGAGTGGACTGGGTGGGTCTGCAGGTTTTAAGGCCGCTCTCCTTGCTCTGTCCACGCCCCACCTGGGCGCCAGGCGTTTGCCGAGCGACACCCTTTCATTGGTGTCCGTACGAGGGCCTTGGGTGTTCCTCCGAGTGGTGTGTACATGTTTTTAAGGTATATATTCACCATCCGTGATGCCACAATTCCCCCCTTTAAGTGGGGTTTTAAATTTACAGCATTTTAATATTTTGAGGAAATCAAATCTATATACTTAATTTCCTCTGTGGCTTTTCCCATCACCTTTGAGTCTAGAAAGCCCTTGCCATCCAGAAATCAGATACTATTCCCCCTAGTTTTAAGATTTTTTTTTTAAAGATTTTTATTTATTTGAGAGAGAGAGAATGAGAGACAGAGAGCACGAGAGGGAAGAGGGTCAGAGGGAGAAGCAGACTCCCTGCCGAGCAGGGAGCCCAATGCGGGACTCGATCCCGGGACTCCAGGATCATGACCTGAGCCGAAGGCAGTCGCTTAACCAACTGAGCCACCCAGGCACCCCAAGATTTTTTTAAGTAGGCTCCATGCCCAGCATGGAGCCCAACGTGGGGCTTGAACTCATGACCCTGAGATCAAGATCTGAGCTGAGATCAAGAGTCAGACGCTTAGCTGACTGAGCCACCCAGGCGCCCCTGGTTTAAAGATTTTAACCCATTTGATATTTGGTCCACATAATGAGGGGGTGGGGCACATCAGTCGGGACCTCAGCCGCCTGTCCCCTCCCCTACGATGTGCCATCGTGCCAGCTCCCTGCGGGTCCGGTCGGGCCGCCTGCCGTCCCTGGCCCTCCCTCCCACGCCATACTTAACTCGCCCACTGCTGTCAGCACTCTTGGCAATTCCCACCTGTTTCTTCCCTGGACAGTGAGGTGGCATCACACAGCGCTGGTCTGGAGTTCCCCAGAGCTGGGTTCCAATCCCAGTGGCTCCTGTGTGACCTCCAGCAAGTTACCG